TTACCACTATCCTTTCCACAAGGATTCTGAGAAAAGACAAAAGGCCCTGTAGTATATCAATCAATACAGAGAGCAGTAAAGACAACCACCTAACTGCCACTATATGCTAATATTCTGGTTCTCCTTTTTAGTAACAGAACAATGAGTGTTTGCAGAAGGAAGAAAACCATGTTTGCTTGCTTCAACCATCAAGGTAACTAAAATACGTATGTATGGGGTATGGTAAGGGGAAAGCAGGCCACTCCGTCTGCTAGGAAATCATGTTCTAAGGACAGCAAACATTCCATGTGCCCAAAGCTGGTACGCATGTGGAGGGGTACAGAATCCTGACAAGCTTGGCTCTACTGCCCTGTATAAATTTGACTTTAGCTGACCATTTTGTGACATTTGTGTTGAATAGATGTAAATAGAACAGCAATTCATTACATTTCTAGTATTTTCAAACTTCATGTCTCTAAAGAAAAACAATTCTGTTTTCCAGTTCTAGCTACTTTCAAAGGTTTAAGGAAAATATTTTATTGCAGAGTCATAGAATGTAAAGAAGTATCCTTTTTGCATACCACCTACAGATCTGTAATAATAGCACTGCTTTGAGAATTCACCCACAAAGGGATCAAAAGGCAATTTTCTGTATTTCTGTAGTAATCCCTTATCTTGAGAATGTCAGAAGTCAGATGCATTCCTTTATTTACTTGTTTTAGTTAAGCAAAGTGATTCAGTCCACTGAACGCCAATTTTCTCCAGATGAGCAAATATACCGTGGTTCCAAGGAATAAACATGCAAACGAAAAATCCAAAAGTCAATAAAACTATTCATAGTCTTATAGTTCTTGAAAGAACGAAATTAACCCAGCCAAATGTAGGTTGAAACTATACCCACATATGTGGTCTTCTTTCTTTGCCAACACTGCCTTTAGTTTGGGCCTCAGATTTCCATAGTGGCAATTCTGCCCTAGTCTATTTTGCAGGTAATTTTCTCAATGTGTATTGGGAGATAATTCTCCATGAGTCTCCCATGTTTTTGTACATACTGTGAGCAGAGATATGAACAACCACTCTGATCTATCTGTACAAGGACATTTGCACATTTATATAGACGCTAGCCTGGAACATAGAGAAAAGACACACTCTGGAGTAAAAGGAAACTGTTTATATAAATTGCATTTCCAAAGAAAGTAAATGGCGGGTATACTCAATGTCCAGTACAGTAAAGATATTGTTGCAAAGAATAGATATGGATATGTTCTGTGCAACAGATCTTGCATCCTTCATCTCAGTTTTTCTTGGAGACCATATTCTGGGATGTTCACTGCACAAGCTATTTTTGTTTGTATTGTATATTTTGTTTGCATGCAAAAGGGGCAGCTTTCAGAGTATTAGCTCAAATGCTGATGCACTGTCTACTGACTTTATTGTAAATAATAAGCTGTTATTTGTCTCTGACCCCGCTGTCTTGTTTCTTCTATCTTACTAGTCATGAAACGTAAGTGGGTGGCTAACTCATTAGCTAGCAAAGAGGATAAAACCTCAGACTGCTTTGTTTTTCAAAGCTTACTCACATTCTTTCTGACCTATCAGCATTTGGAAAATGGAGTGGGCTGAGAAAGTTAGAAAAATTGCCTCCTTTCTTTTTTTTTCAGAAGATTTATTTATTTATTTGAAAGGCAGAGTTACACAGAGAGAGGAGAGGCAGAGAGAGAGAGAGGTCTTCCAACTGATGGTTCAATCCCCAATTGGCTATAACAGTCGGAGCTGTGCCGATCTGAAGCCAGGAGCCAGGAGCTTCTTTCGGGTCTCCCACGTGGGTGCAGGGGCCCATGGACTTCAGCCTTCTTCTGCTGCTTTCCCAGTCCATAGCAGAGAGCTGGATGGGAAGTGGAGCAGCTGGGTCTCAAACCGGCGCCCACGTGGGATGCCAGCGCTTCAGGCCAGCGTGTTAACCCACTGTGCCACAGTGCCAGCCCCACCTCCTTTCAACAGAATTACCACTTATCTCAGAAATGAGGAGTGTTATCTACTGCTTGATGACAGTACCATGCTGCTTTATTGTCATCATATTTTTTCTTCTGCTCCCTTCCTGTCTATCTCTGGCCTACATTTGCTTTTGTATGATTCCTACTTTTCTGATTGATTTCTGTCTGTTTTCCTTTTGCCCTGGATATGTTACTTTATCTATCTGTACTTCAATGTTTTTTATTTATTTATTTATTGACAGGCAGAGTGGACAGTGAGAGAGAGAGACAGAGAGAAAAGTCTTCCTTTGCTGTTGGTTCACCCTCCAATGGCCGCCGCAGCCGGCGCACCGCGCTGATCCGATGGCAGGAGCCAGGTGCTTCTCCTGGTCTCCCATGGGGTGCAGGGCCCAAGCACTTGGGCCATCCTCCACTGCACTCCCGGGCCACAGCAGAGAGCTGGCCTGGAAGAGGGCAACTGGACAGAATCCGGCACCCCGACCAAGACTAGAACCCGGGATGCCAGTGCTGCAGGCGGAGGATTAGCCTATTGAGCCAGGTGCCGGCCTGTGCTTTAATGTTATTTGAATAAATAGGAAAATATTCCTTTGTATCTCAGAATTAGTATATAATTAAATTAGAATTAATGTATATGAAGGCACCTAACACTATGTAAGCAAGGTTTCAATTAAACTGATGACTGGATAAAAAAGGATGTGATATATTTACACTATAGAATACTACTCAGCTGTAAAAAGGAATGAAATTCTGTCTTTGCAACAAAATGTATGCAACTGGAATCATTATGCTTAGCAAAATATGTCAGTTCCGAAAATACAAATATCATATGTTTTCTCTGATTTGTGGTAACTGATATACAAACCTCAAAGTCCCAGAGAAAGGACGGTAGCTCTCAAAGTTCAGGCAGACGGGCTCGTAATCAGTGGAAAGTACCTGCTGGGATTTTGCTGGGACATGCACAACTCAGGAGTCCGCTTCAGTCTGGTCAATATCTACTTCCTTGCATGCATTCACATACAGACACACACATGCTCATACATGCTCAACAAACTACTTTCACAGCTGAATCCCAGCTCCACGCAGAGCTATCTGAAAGTCAGCCATTGCCAGGACATTCTCTAGCTCTGTCCTTTTAAATACCAATAATCCTATATTATTTCTAAGGATTTAGAGGTAAAGACACACAGAGATGAAGACGTTTTAGAAGTGACTTAGATACTTTTTGGTGAGCACTAGTACTTCTCAAACAAGTTTCACTGTATACAGTTTTCCTTTAAAGTGTATTAAACCTAGACATCAGTTTTCTCCCTCCAAAAAAATAAAATAAAAAGTTGCAATGGTCAAAAAAAAAAATAAATAAAGTGTATTAAACCACACAGAAATGTAAAAGTAGTTTAACATCAAATTTAATTTAAAAAGTTTGTTTATAAATATATACAATGAAGAATAGTAACTTTTCCTGTTGTATTCATCAGGGACATGACCAGGGAAGCACAGTCTTGCTTTCTACCTGTCATTTTCATGCTATGCATTCATAAACAGGATTTTCTGTGTCCCTGGCAGCAGAGATGGATGCATCCTCACATCAAGACACATAGTCCAGGACAACACAGAATAAATATTCACAGCTGAGCCAGACTCTCTCCTTCCTAATGGGTTCTCAGTCCATTAATGAAGGAACTACTATTTCTAAATTTCATATATGGAAAAAACTGATTATTAATCCATAAAGTATTGGACAGCATAATTGAAAGATAGTAGGACAAGGCCAATTCTCCAATTACATCTACACAGATTAGAAATTAAAGATTTATGAACTCACATGACAACTTTTTTCATGACTTTTGACACTGAAATAGTGTTTTCATATTTCACTTATTTTTTTCTGGCTATCAATCCACCCCTGTTTTTTTTACAAAATTAATGTATTTAACATACATTCACAAAATTAATGCATTTAACATATATGTATATTCAGAAAACCTCAACATTTCTAAGATTAATTTCTAGTATATAAAAATAGGTATATCTTTATAACATTTTTAGAGGATTAAATAAAATAATCCATATAAGAGCTTAGCTCAGCGACAAGCATATAAAAATCTCAAATAAAGGTTATCTATTGTGACAAAATATTATGATACTTATGAAAGTACTTCAGAAAGACATATGCAATGTAAATACCAATGGCATGTTTTGACAATAAAAGAGAAAAATCTGTACTATTTTTAAGTTTCAAATCATTTTAAAGGAAAATAGCAAATAAATTTTACAAACTTTTAAAATTTTGGTCCATAAGTAGTATTTATTTTTTGTGTTTTCTTTTACTTTCCGTGAAAACAAACATGTATTATAAACCAGTAATTGATTTAATAAAAATGGAATTATTCTGTTATCTTCAGCATCTTATTTAAAATAAAAGAACCAGTTTAACATATTAGATTTGTTCTGTGTGACTTACTACATGCTTAACTACTGACTGAATGTTAACTTGAGGAAATGAAGTATTTGCCTAAATTAGATAGTCCCAGACACTTCTTTTCTTAATATATTCAAAATGCCCAATAATTTCTTTGAAAAATAAACTTTTGAAAACCTATTTACAAGTGGTATAGGTATCTTTATGTTCATTTTTATGGAAAATTCCAAAGATAAGACTTTGCTTTTAGCTTAAAAGCCTCAAAATATAAAATTAAAAAATATAATAGAAATTATCAAGTTGATCACATCTCAACATATTTACTTATTTTTATAAATCCCTTAGTGTTACTTCATGCAAACTTCAATAACATATTTTTTAAATGTGGCATCTCTATTCTTTGACAAGAAGTATTCAACTGCCCAAATGATATTTTTACAAATTTATAGTTCATGCATGTTTTAAAATTTGTATTTCTCTTTATAATAGGGAAACCACAGAAAGCATTTTCTGAAATACATGCTCCTAAGTGAACAATCAACCAAACAGCTAACAGCTTGGTTGATAGTAGGTTGGCATGAAGAGCAGATTGAGAATGTTCACTGTACCTTATGTCGCAATCTTATGAGAGGCTGATAGGACTTAAGGCCGTATACTGCTTCCTTGGTTGGCCTTCCTTCTGACTTCAGCAAAACGAGTCCAAGAACCAGAACAGCTGACCAGCACTTCAACATCTTTATCACTTTTCACCTGCCAAAATTAAAATCGCAAGTAATCAAAGAAAATGTATTACATAACAGAGAAGAATATCAAGAAACACTCAATATCACATAGAAATTTCCACAGATCTGATAAAAACTTGCTGGTAGTAGTCAGCTGAATCCATAATAGGCAAGCAACTCTAAAAAAAAAAAAACAAAACTATACTTTGGATCATAACATATACAGTGTTCTTTATTTCATTTACACAGATTCACAACATACAAAAGAAGAAATATAGGGGTCAATAAACAGTACTGAGGAAAAAAGTAATAAAAACAGATTGAAATAAAATTTTAAAAAAAGGAAGGGCCAGCCTTGTGGCATAGTAAGATAACAGTTTAAGCTACCTCCTGCAATGCCCGCATCTCATACGGGTGACAGCTTGAGTTCCGGCTGCTCCACTTCGGATCCAGCTCCCTGCTAATGTGCCTGGGAAAGCAGCAGAGGATGGCCCCAGTCCTTGGGACCCTGTACCCATGTGGGAGGCCTGGATGAACCTGCTAGCTACTGGCTCCAACCTGGCCCAACCCTGGCCATTGCAACCATTTGTGGAGTGAATCAGTGGATGGAAGATCTCTCTATCTCTCTCTCTCTCCCTCTCTCTGTAACTCTGCTTTTCCAATAAATAAAATAAATAATAAAAAAGAGTACTTATAAAAAAAAAGAAACATTAAACCATGACTAGTTTTCTAAGTATCTGTACAGACTAGAAAATTATCAACATATTTATAAATCATGCTCCTTTTTAAGTATGATTGATGAATAAACCTTAACGAAATTATAGCAAATGTAGCTCAGTAGAAAAACTGATGAGAAGTTAGTAAGATAGTCTTTCATGACATACACAACGGAGTACAATGAAAGTTAGACAGATGGGGTATATTGGGTTATTAAAACATCTTCAATGGTATTTTAAAGGAATTTGCTAGAAAAATGCTTCCCAAGGGCTTTAAAATAAAAATCTATGACTTTCTATCACTCTGTTTTTGGATATTCCAGATAAGCTGTAAAATGGTACAAGCTGATTATCATATAAACACTAAGCTCTTTTTCAAAACATACAAATATATGCCTTGAGTTCCATCATATCCTTTTTCTACGTTCACTAACTCACCTCCTGCCCTATGGTAACAGAGTTTTCACCCTCCTTTAACTTCTTGATGACTTTAACCAATTGACTAAACCTCATCTTTACTATATATTAAGCTCCTCCTCTGCATTATTTTTCATCTTCCAACATACTGAAGTCACCCATGTTGTAAGATATCTTCTCTCCTATACTTTCTGTATTCTCTACTTTCTGTATTTTCTAAGAGTTTTATATATCACTCCGTTAATTTTCTTACCCTCGTCTGCTTTCTGTCATGCATATGCCACTATCACTCCATCACAGTTGTTAATTTTTGGATTTCAGCTGTGTTTTTCTTTCAGGATTATATATTTTGGGCCTAGCAAATAACTTGGTACCTACAAGATGTTCAATAAATGAACATCATCTTGTTGTTGAAGGTAAAAGAAAGATGTTTCCTTGAACTCTGGCAATATTGAGTGCAATTCCTATTTCTGCTACTGCTTTGTGGCATCTGAAAACCTGAAAAATTTTTTTCATTACTAGTCCATCCCTTTTCTGTCATTTGATGCATAGCCTAACCCTTCTCTCAGAGTTTCATATTTGTTTATAAGATGATAGGATGTTGGCCAGCGCTATGGTTTAGCAGGTAAAGCCACTGCCTGTGAGACCAGCATCCCCTATGAGCACTGGGTCCAGCTCCATTGGCTCTACTTCTGATCCTGCTCCCTGCTAATGGCCTGGGGAAAGTAACAGAAGATGAGCAAGATACAAAGGCCCCTGAACCGATGTGGGGAACTCTGATGAGGCTCCTGGCTCCTGACTTCGCCTGGACCAGTACTGGGTATCGCTGGCATTGGGGAGTGCACTAAGGGATGGAGGATCTCTCTGTGGCTCTCCCTGTCTCTCTGTAACTCTGACATTCAAAAGGAAATAAATAAAACTTTAAACAAAAAGATGATAGGATGAAATATATCAAGTGCAAGAGCCCAAGAATAGTGCAAAGAGAACCATCTCAATGAGAGATCTTTTTCCCAGGACTGGAAGCACTCCCCTGTTTCTGTTGTCCATAATGAGATGGAAGGTAAGAACAGAAAAACAATCTCTTTCCTGGGGCAGGTGTTTGTCTCCTCGTTTAAACTGCCATTTCAGACACCTGCATGCCATATCGAAACGCCTGGTTCAAGTCCCAGCTCCCCTGCTTCTGATCCAGCTTTCTGCTAATGGTCACCCTGTGAGACAGCAGCTGATGAGTCCATGCCAGCCACATGAAAGATACAAACTGAGTTCCAGGCTCCTGGCTTCAGCCTGCCACAGCCCTGGCTGTAGTAATGAAAATTAAGAAAGTAGAACAGCAGACACAAGGTTTTTCCCTATCCGCCTCTCTCCTTACTCTGTCTCGCATCTAAAAATATCTTTCAAGTAAAATGAAAATAAAGAAAAATTGAAAATAAAGCAAGTCTGTCTCATCATAAATTTTTCTAAAAGTGCTCATGTAAAGGTTTTCCTTTCTCTGCCTCTCTTTCCCTTTCTTTCTCTCCTCTTCCCTAATCTTTTCTTGTTCTATAGGAGAAAGACATAGACATTCCACATGGCTACCAACATTTCATACACAATAAGATATAAACCACATTAGCAATTAGTTAATTTTGAATAGGTAGCCAGATTCTCAAAAATCTTTAGTGAGTAAACTACATATTGATAGAAACATACATATTTGAAAGTTTTTAATCTAATCTCTGGTGTTATTATTTATGATTATTTCAGAAATAGTTCTATTATTTTACTCTAAAATTTCTTAATGATATAAAGTTATAAAAATAAATACATATATATACACACTTTAGATCAGCAAAAGTTATCATACAACTGGAGTGATTAACTTGGTATCATAAATAAAACCAGATTTAATATTAATAGTTAGATACTTTTTTATCCTTACAAAAAATCTGATTTGTATTACACATAGGCACTTGAGTTCTGATGTTTAAGAATTAAGAAATAAAAGATAAAAGACAAGAAATTGTTTCTGGTTTATCTTTTGTGAACAGCTACCTTCTAATATTTTCTGCATTGAAATATCACTGCAAGTAATGGAATTCAATTATAGAGTCATCAAACCCAACCTAAACAAAAAAGGGCTCTTCTTAATGGATTTACAGAAAATAATTGTCTTGTTTCTCTTCAGTTATATACTGCCAAGATGTGTGATTATCGCTTTATTCATGCATCCAAAGAAGGTATTCTAGAATTTTTTTTTTATTTATTTGAAAGTCAGAGTTACACAGAGGGAAGGAGAGGCAGAGAGAAGTGGGGAGGGGTCTTTCATGAGCTGATTCACTCTCCAATTAACTGCAACAGCCTGAGCTACACTGATCCAAAGCCAGGAGCCAGGAGCTTCTTCCAAGTTTCCCACGTGGGTGCAGGGACCCAAGGACTTGGGCCATCTTCTACTGCTTTCCCAAGTCATAGCAGAGAGCTGGATCAGAAGTGGTACAGGCCGGCACCTTGGCTCAATAGGCTAATCCTCCACCTTGTGGCACTGGTACACTGGGTTCTAGTCCCGGTCGGCCATTGGAGGGTGAACCAACGGCAAAAGGAAGACTTCTCTCTCTCTCTCTCACTGTCCACTCTGCCTGTCAAACTCTGCCTGCCGGACTCGAACCGGCGACCCTGCTATGCCACAGCACTGGCCCCTGGAAATTGTTTTTAAATCAGTAGCGATCGATCTCATGTGATAGTAATTCATGACAACACTTTCTTACTATACCAACCTTTGATGACCTGTTAGCTTTTCATAATTAATTAGCAGTCTGTTGACAGCTCACCAAGAACACAGAAAATCATGTGACTAAAACTAGAACAGGTGGGGCGGTAATGATCCTGGGACCTCTGTCTGTAACCTCCACTTTTACAGGATTGTATCAGAAAATGACCTGGTTCTTCCAGAAAACAAATTCATATGGATCTTACAAGAACCTGCCTCAGTTTAGATTTAACAATGTCAGACTTTAAAGTGGTCCTTTAAAAAGCAATATTTGGCCGGCACCGCAGCTCACTAGGCTAATCCTCCGCCTAGCTGCGCCGGCACACCGGGTTCTAGTCCCGGTCAGGGCACCGGATTCTGTCCCGGTTGCCCCTCTTCCAGGCCAGCTCTCTGCTGTGGCCCGGGAGTGCAGTGGAGGATGGACCAAGTGCTTGGGCCCTGCACCCCATGGGAGACCAGGAGAAGCACCTGGCTCCTGCATTTGGATCAGTGCGGTGTGCCGGCCGCAGCGCACTGACCGCGGCGGCCATTGGAGGGTGAACCAATGACAAAAAGGAAGACCTTTCTCTCTGTCTCTCTCTCTCACTGTCCACTCTGCCTGTCAAAAATAAAAAAAAAAAGCAATATTTATCTCTGGCTCAAATTATTTTCCATTTCACCATATAACATAACATGTCATGCAGTTTATGGTGGTAGGATTTAGAGTGCTTACATTTTTTAATAGATTAAAATTTGAAGGATTTGGATTTGTTTACTCGTTCTCCAGAAAATCACTATTAATCACTTGAGAAAACAAACTAAGAGTGTTAAAGTATTGCTTTAAGAACAAAAGGCTGCATTCCAGCACTTTCATTTTCATTTTCAGTAAAATCTTCCAAAACATTGAAGAACAACATCTATGTGAAAATACAGTAAAAGCTAAGGCTTGCAAAAAAAAAAAAAAAAAAAAAAAAAACACATTATGTCTTTCCAACTAAGTAAGAACTGGAAGTTATCATGCAAACTAAAAGTAAATAATCGCACGGCTCTTCGTTTTCCTTTTTCTCCTAAACACAGTGAACAGGCCTTATTGTACATTTCATATGTGTTCAGCCGGAAAGGCAAATAGCTTACTTTGCATGTTAGCGGCACATAAGTTTACATGACATCATG